TGAGAAATAAGAACAGTAGTGTGATCATATTAGTCACTGCTTGCTAAGAAATGTTTCTGTGGTAACAGGATTATCTTAAGACTTGTCCCCATTGTAAAGGTCACTTGGCAGTGAGGATGTGGGGAAGGAAACTTTTCCTTTTCTTTTTGAGATGGAGTCTCTCTCTGTTGCCCAGGTTAGAGTGCAATGGCACAATCTTGGCTTACTGCAAACTCCACCTCCCGGGTTCAAGCAATTCTCCTGCCTTGGCCCCCCAAGAAGCTGGGATTACAGGAGCACGCTACCACACCCAACTAATTTTTGTATTTTTAAGAGACAAGGTTTCACCATGTTGGTCAGGCTGGTCTCGAATTCCTGACTTCAGGTGATCCACCTGCCTTGGCCTCCCAAAGTGCTGGGATGACAGGTGTGAGCCACCATCCCTGGCCTGTGGGGAAGGGAACTTAAAGCTGTCATCTACCTCTAATCATGTCAGGCTGCCTATTTCTGGAAGAAGCATAAACAAGAGAATCTGATTCTCCAAATGTTGTTCAGATAGTGGAATCCTGTAAGTTCACAAGAGAAAGCTCTTCTTGGCCACGGCTTGTGCCTTATGCATGTTGCAAGCTGTGTCCATAAGTGTTTGGGAAAATGGTTCAAGGATGAGGCAGCACAATAATATTAGTCACTTACATTCACATAGTGTTTTTGGTATTTCTAAAAGGCTTTGATGTATATCCCATCATCTGCTGATATAGCAAGATTTGTTAATTTTTATACCAAGGACATTTGTGCATCGCCTCATTTTGTTTGATCTTCATGATAACCCTAGGAGATTTTATTATTAGCGCCTGTTTAGAAGAAAGTGAGACTCAGAGAGGTTAAGTTGTCCAGGGCCATGGAGCTCGTAGGGGTGCAGCCAGGCCTCTAGGACCCTAGTCCTCTGGTCTCAAGTAGAAAGCGAGGCTACCTCTCATCTTGTCCCTTATTTATTTATCTCTTTTTCTGAGACAGAGTCTCACTCTGTTGCCCAGGCTGGAGTGCAGTGGCATGATCTTGGCTCGCTACAACCTCTGCCTCCTGGGTGTACACGGGGCCTCAGTTTCCCAAGTAGCTGGGATTACAGGCACACACTACCATGTCTGGCTAATTTTTGTATTTTTAATGGAGATGGGGTTTCACCATGTTGGCCAGGTTGGTCTCAAACTTCTGACTTCAAGTGATCCACCTGTCTCGGCCTCCCAAAGTGCTGGGATTACAGGCGTGAGCCACCGAGCCTGACCCCATCTGGTTCCTTATATGGTATATCCCAGACTTGACTTCTCCTCTATGTCCCAGATCCAATCAGTTCCCAAGGTTTATGGATTCTTTATCCCATTATCTGATTATAAACTTTTAAATATCTTGCTGGGACATTTTCTCAAAAGCTTGCCTTGGGGGTAAAAAAAAAATACTACAACATGGGGGAAAAAAGAGCCTGTTGCAAGGATGTTTCTTATAGAATCATTTATCATGGCAAAAATGGAAGTAACCAAAATGCTTAGCAGTGGGGAAATACAAATACAGTTTTATCAATACTATAACATACAGCCTTTAAAATCGATGAGGTAGAACTATAGATGTCCATCATAAAGATATAAGTAAAAATGTTACAGGCAGTGAATCCATATGGGTCTGCAGCAGCCTCAGTTCTTACCTCCTCAAAAGAAAGAATTCAACAGAGTGGGGCATAAGGCAAAGGGAGAACTGAGGCAAATTTTAGAGCAGGAGTGAGAGTTTATTACAAAGTTTTAGGGCAGGAATGAAAGGAAGTAAAGTACACTTGGAAGAGGGCCAAACAGGCAGCTTGAGAGACCAAGTGCATGGTTTGACTTTTAACTTAGGGTTTTATATGTTGGCACACTTGTGGGGTCTTGCATCCCTTCTCCCTGAGTCTTCCACTGGGGTGGGCCATCTGCATGTGCAGTGGTCTGCCAGCTCTTGGGAGGGGAGCATGCATGGTTCATTTATGGGAGCTGCACACATGCTCACTTGAGGTGTTCTTCCCTTACCAGTCAAGTCTTCCTATAAGGAAGACTTATACCAGTCTAACTTATACCAGTTAAACTCTGCCATTTGGCTCTTAGCACACATGTGTGAGGCCCCTCACCCAACTCCTGAGATACTGCTGTTCACCATCTTCAGGCTTTTTCTATCTATTGGGAGACAGCCTTTCCCTGGAGCTGGCTGTGACTAATTGTTATTTTAGAGAGACAGTTAACCACCTGGCCATCACCTGATGGTTACCTGACATTTCTGGTGGGGTTAGGAGTGGACTCTCTCCTGGCCTGCTCACACCTGTAATCCCAGCACTTTGGGAGGCTGAGGCGGGTGGATCAAGAGGTCAAGCGTTTGAGACCAGCCTAACCAACATGGTGAAACCCCATCTCTACTAAAAGAAAAAAAAAAAATTAGCCGGATGTGTTGGCATGTGCCTGTAATCCCAGCTACTCAGGAGGCTGAGGCAGGAGAATCGCTTGAACCTGGGAGACAGAGGTTGCACTGAGCCAAGATGGCGCCATTGCACTCCAGCCTGGGGGACACAGTGAGACTCTGTCTCAAAACAAACAAGCAACAACAAAAAAACACATCTCTGGACCCTCAAACTCCTTATACCAAAGGGAAGGTTAAGCCTAGAGGTTGGGTCATGCAACCCCCTTTCCAAATGAATTGCTGTTACCAGCATTATGCATCACCCAGACTCCCTGGGAAAAGGTAAAAGGCCTCAGGGATCTCCAAATGACTGCCCCCACAGACCATTCATAAGTAAATTTTTTGCTGGCCTCTCATAAACAAGGACATGCCAGTTTTAACTTTAGGTCTGCAATCTAAGTCTAGCTCCTGAAACTAAGTCTGATTCTACGCTGATAATGTCAATTGCAAGCTTTTCTTCCCAGGTGCAGAACAAAGACAAGACTGGATCAATCATTCCTCCACTTGCCCAGAGACATCTGCATAATTAATCCTTCCTTTACTCCCTTTTTTCTTTCAAACATTCACTTTATCTTATGCAAAGTGTTGACTTACTGGGCACTAACTAAAGGCTCGCAAAGATATAACCATTGCCTTACCACCTACCTGCCTCTTCCTACATGCCTTTCTCCCCTTGAAGAAAATGTACAAATAGTAAACCTCCTGAAAATCTCTTTAGGAAAATTGCCACAAATAGGTCTGTGGCTTGTGTGTTCTGGGACATGCCCTGAGGTTGGCTTAATAAATCTCAATCGATTGACACTTGCTTCAGTGACTCATTTTGGTTATCAAGAAAAATATGTGCTGTGCAGTTCCATTAAAAGAAGAAAGAGGCTGGGCGCGGTGGCTCACGCCTGTAATCCCAGCACTCTGGGAGGCTGAGGCGGGTGGATCACGAGGTCAGGAGTTCAAGACCAGACTGGCCAACGTAGTAAAACCCCCATCTCTACTAAAAAATACACAAATTGGCTGGGCATGGTGGCTTGTGCCAGTAATCCCAGTTACTTAGGAGGCTGAGGCAGGAGAATTGCTTGAACTGGGACCCAGGAGGCGGAGGTTGCAGTGAGCCAAGATTGCACCACTGTACTCCAGCCTGGGCTACAGAGCAA